AATAGAAAAAAGGGGGGGGGGGGACACTTACAATGAGGAAACCCAGCAAACACATTAGCCATGTGAACCAGGTCAGCGTCACCATGGCAGGTCTGCTGCTAGGTTCTCCCTGATGTCGCATGGTGAGAAGAATGCTCACCCTATGGTATGCTTCTCTAACCAACCACAGGGAAAGCAACAGCCCTAACCAGAGGGGCGGTCTACAAACTCCTAAACAGCTCTCTTAAAAGAAGGCCATGCACACTTGGGTCCAAGGGCACTCCCGCTAATCCCAGCACTGAGGAAGCTTCGGTAGGAAGACAGCCAGCTCGAAACCAGACTGGGCTGCATAGCGAGAGCCCGGCTCAAAAAAGAAGTCATTAAGGTCATGAAAAATAAGGAAAGGGCTGAGTAAATGAAACACAGCAAAGAGATTGTGCTGGACAGTTTTATGTCAACTTGACACAAGCTAGAGTCATCAGAGAGGAGGGGGCTTCAACTGAGGAAATGTCTAAGATCTGGCTGTAGGTAAGCCATTTTCTTAGTTAGTGACTGACCTGGGAGGGTCCAGGCCACTGTGGGTGGTGCTGTCCCTGGGCTGGTGGTCCTGGGTTCTATAAGAAAGCAGGCTGAGCAAGCTGTGGGGAGAAAGCCAGTAAGCAGCACTCCTTTATGGGCTCTGCATCAGCCCCTGCCTCCAGCTTCCTGTCCTGATTTTTTCCCATGATGAATAGTAATGTGACAGCATAAACCACACAAACCCTGTCCTCCCCAAGTTGCTTGGGTCACCCTACCTGGGACAGAGCGTAAGGAGACATGTTGACCAAATGCAGTGGAATGCCCTGCTTGGGATCCCCAAACACAACAGCCTATCATTGGGAAACCTGGGGAGATGGAACTAGGACGAGAGTTTAGTTCTTAGTATCAAATAAGCATAGATGTCTCAGGTTTGCAGATGATCCTGGTGGGGTCAGATGTCAACATTAGGGGGAGCTGGTGAAGGAGGCATGGACTCAAAAATTATCCCGAGTAGTAAACTTTTGTTTCAAAAATTAAGGTAAAGAAATACACTTTAGGGACTGGAGAGATGGCTCAGCAGTTAAGAGCACTCGCTGGTCTTACAAAGGACCCTGGTTCAGTTCCCAGTGCCCACATGGTGGCTCACAGCTATCTGTAATGGCAACTCCGGGAGATCCAACACTCTCCTCTGACCTCCACGGGCACCAGAATCGCACAGCGTGCACACACATGCAGACAAAACACTCACAATCATAGCATAAAATAAATACAGAAAACCACCGGGCAGTGGTGCACGCCTTTAATCCCAGCACTCGGCAGGCAGAGCCAGGTGGATCTCTGTGAGTTCGAGGCCAGCCTGCTCCACAGAGCGAGATCCAGGACAGGCACCAAAACTACACAGAGAAACCCTGTCTTGAAAAACCAAAATATAAAAATAAAAATAAATACAGAAAACCAATACGCTACAAAGTTTACATTTAAGCCTTGAATAAGCCTCGTGTGTCTAGAGGACTGCTTTAAACAACATCCCACCCCTCCTCACCCCACCCCCACCCTGCGCTGTCCTAGCGTTCCACTCTTAGAATCAATTAAAGCGAAAGTTCAAAAAGCTGCAAGTTGAGCTGGGTGAGTTTCCCAGCTGCCCGGAGGACAGAGGCAAGAGACGAGCTGGAACTCAGACCAGACCAGCAAACCTACACCTGGACGCCTGGGTGCAAGGGGATCTAGTCTATTCTTGTCACGCCACCGGCACCTTCTGGAAAGCCTCTGATCCCAGCCACTCACTTTCATCTTGAGTTTTCACCTGTCTGTGCTTGGAGACAGGGGCTCTTTTTTGGAAGCCAGGTGGTATCCACAGGCTTAGCAAAAAAAAAAAAAAAAAAAAAAAGAAAGAAAAAAACGCTGAAGAGGAGGCATGTGTTCAAAATAAAGTCAATGACAAATTTTAAAACCACTCACTTCAGTAGACACTATAAGCAGTGGTCAAAAACATGAGACTTGTAAATGGGGGTGAGGGGGATCTGGGTTTACTTCTGAGCTCTACTACCTCCTGGGTACGTGACCTCACATCGGGTAGCCTGTCTAAGCTTCATTTTCCTCGTCTACACAATGGGAATAAAAAGAGGGCTTACTCATAAGACTGTGGTGAGGCGTGTGTTTGTCGGACAGCTCACAGAACAAACAGAGCTCCTGTCATCCAGAGCTGTGTGCAATACCCACCCTGACTCAAGGCAAACGACAATCCAGGGAGTTAGTCCTCGGGCTCCACCTGAAGAACTGGAGCCACGGGAGGATGAATAATTGGCTCAGGGTGACAGGGCCCAAACCCAAGCAAGCTGGTTCTAGAATTCTTTTCTTAGCCGGCTGCATGGCATGGATTGCAGCTCCTGTTATCAGAAAAGACAGAGGAAACGGAAGGGGGAAAGCTCACAAAGGTTAAAGGAGAGGGTTGAAGGTCAGCTCTACCGAGAGTTCTGAGCAAACACATAGTTTAGAAGTGAGT